TCATTCTCCAGAGTTTTATTTTGAAAGAGTCACTGTCCCAAGTTCAGGTTGTTTGTCACTTATGTCAGCAGTAGTTTCTCTTCTACAATTGAAGAGCCTTGTCATTATCTCACATTTCCTATCATTAAGTTTCTGGGAAGGTAAATTTATCTTTACTTTCCACAGATGTGCTCAAATACTCACTAGAAATACATTTTGCAAGGTTCAATTATAGTTTCTACATAAACAGCCCCAGCAAAACCAGTAGCAGTACTTGCAGAATTGGATGCTGTTCACCGGACCACATCTTGCACGCCTCAAAGTCGAGGGTGCAATTCCCTTTTGTAACTATGACTCCAGCTTCCTGAGGAGGTGGAGGAAGAGAGGACACTTGCTAACCTGTGCCCCGGGCTGTCTCAGCGGCACAGTGACGGCTGCTTAGGTCGGAAACCCCCTTGCACCAGCCAATCTGCAGCTGGGATAGGTCATCATCCTGGTCCCACAGTTTTAGGGTGGCCAGAGAGCCTTGGGGCGGGCAGGCAAGCATCTGGGACAGGCCACTGGGACAGGCAGGTGCTTGAAGCTGTGGGAAGGGGCTCGATATCAGCTCTGTGCGTAGGACATAGCGTCTGACCGGGTCTGAGAGCACCTAGTAACCTTATCTTGGCAAGGTCGGCTGTTACCATAAATAGGGCCCATCTGTGCAAGGCTTCAGGCAACGTTTATTTGAGCTGCAAGGGAATAAATATGTAATTTTCCTCTTGTGAATAATGGATATTGACCTTCAGTGCTTCGCTGGAAGTGTTCTGCCAGTGACACTTGTGGGAGGAAGAGTTACATATTTGCTTGCCTAATCAGCAGCGTATTTGGTGTCTGCCACAGATTTGAATTGGGAAGCTGCTTTTTGAATTAAAAGGAAGAGCTTTAACCTTTTAAAGTGCTGGTTTTTTCTCCTAACAGTGGCCAAATTCATGCCAACATACTACCAAACAGGCTTTGCATTTGTACTGGTTTCTGTTTCTTTTGGCTAGTATTGTTGAGAAGGGTCTCTCCCACACCTGGGGAAACACAGGAGAGCTGTTAACACTGTCTAGCATTTGCAAGTCTGGCAATGCTGTACCATAAGCGTTAGTGCAGGCAGGTATTATTTAGGCTGCTGGTCACCTTGTTTGCATGCACAGCTCAGTGACTGGGAGATTCTAGCACTGGGAGATTTTCCCCTGCCTTTAGCTATACAGATACCAGGATAATGAGTAGGAAAATTACTGAAAAATTTTCACGAAGAAAGATGCACTCCTGTGATTTAGAAATACACTGACAAGAGGGAAACTGCAATAGCTTTAATCCAAATCACAGCTGTAGTTACAAACAAAAACAGGATGTAAAGGAACATTTCTAGGAGAGGTGATCCAAAAAAAGGAGATAGTCTTACTACCAAGGAAGATTTCCGCCAGGAAATATTTTGCTAGTCCCATCCACATACAGAAAGGTCTAGGCAGCTGTCTGAAACAGTGCAGCAAGGAACAGCAGCATTTCGAAAAGCTTGAGAGTGTCCTAGTGAGTAAGTGCTCACTGGGTTGTGAGCTCGCCTCAAATGAGTACCAGGGCACAGGACTGGATGAATTCAGCAGCTTTTTGTGTTTGTAGAGCACAAAAGTTTGTTTTTTTTTTTTTGTTATATGCATATATACACACATCCACATTCTTCCCGTGGCATCAGAGCTCACGTTTAGGCAGCAGATGACCAAAAGCTGCTGTACGACTTCTCTGCCCCCCTTCTAAAAGCGGCCGGCTGCACCCCAGCGGGTGATGGCTACCACAGGAGTGCACACAAAACCGCGGGCATCCGGACAGAAGGGCTTTTGACTACCTGGGGCCTAGTTTCACTCCTAGGTGTTGTTACAAGTGTTCTTCAAACTTCTTTTTGAGAGTAATCCAGCAACCAGCTGAAAAACAGGTTGTGTATGCAACATGATTTATGCAAGGGGGCGAACAGTGAAGTCTGTCTTACTTTTCCTGGAGCGGAAAGAAAAGCAGGTAAGTCAAGCTGAGTTAGTTGATACTCTGTGCATTTTTCATGCTGCTGTGTTTGTGGTGCACAGCTGCCGTCCGTGTCTCCCTTAGGAAGCTGAGCACATGTCTGAACAGCACTGGATTGCAAATTACTCCATCTCACAATCAGTCTGTCTCACTGTTGACCTTGCTCAAAGCCAGCAGGTAGGAGAGAGCACCAAAGAGGAGAGTATCTTCCTCTCCTCCCTCAAGCTTCAGTTGCCAGTTCATGTTTCCAACCTCTTGAGACTGAACTGTGTCCAGGGACCTCAAACTTCAGGGTGCCCGAGCCCTTGGTACCCCAGGCTGCTTGCTGTCTGCAGAGCCAGGGGCACATTGCTGTCTGAGATGGGGGTGCGGGCAAAGAGACATGGCCAGCCTCCTTGGAGAAGGGGGAGAAATAAATGTGAGATGATATACAGGAGGAACTTGATGGGGATCAAGGGTGAGGTCAAAGGGGAAGTAGCGATGAGGATTGCTGCAGAATTCAAGAGGGTGCAGGTAGGCTTGTGTGAAATGTGAGGATTTGCTAGGTGAGAAAACACTGGTTTGGCAGAAGCTGGTTTCTATTGAGTGTGACAGTGGTGAGACCTGGGGTGGGGAGAAGCAAGATGGAGGCTACCGGACCACGGAGAAATACTTGGCTGGGGCGCGAAGGGGAGGAAAGAGGGGCCCTGGCATGCAGTTGGCCCAGCTGGTGGAAGTGTCACAAGTGGTTTCTTGCTCAGGGCAATACCGAGGGGACAGATAAATGAGAAGGCTTGGCAAAACTTTTGGCTCCTTAAACCACACATGGTCTGGACCCCCTGCTGCAGGTCTTGGGTTTGGTGTCCTTCATACGGCCCCAGGAATCTACTTTGCTGCCTGCAAAGCATTTGGCAGGGAAATGCCCCTCTCCCACAGGCAGAGGGGGATATGGGAGGAGATTTGGGCAAAGGCAGAGAAAGACTAACTACACTGTTTAAATTTAGACTTTGGACTGAGCTCAGAGTATTCAAACCCACAGTGCCTGGAGTAAAACAAGGAGACACCTGTAATGTTCATTAACAGGCTACTCAGAATTTAGAGGAGCATTTTTTCCCCTATTGCTGTAATAGTTAAGTCTAAATAAATGGAAAGGGGGGTTAGTTGTGGGGGAAGTGAAGCATGCTCTGTGAGGGAGCAGGGGGCATGGCAGCTGGCAGCTTGCTGGAGCTCAATTAACATTAGCAGCCTGGCATATCTATCGAGCAGGGTGAGGGAGGGTGGAGGTGGGACCAGAAACAGGCTCCTTGTGCTGCCAAGAAACAGATGCTAACAAGAAACAAGGAGAAATGTGGCAGTCCCTGTTGTGGCCTAGCCAAACAACGTCTCATAAGCAACAGATCAGCAGCTGTGGGGGCTAGAGGCCATGTGTCTGCAAGGAGGGTCTTAAAACTGTGGTGATGTAGAGAAGATCCCAGGAGGGAGAGGTGGTGTCTGTAGAAAGAAGCTGAGAAAGGAATCACCATGCAGGAGTAATTGTGAACCTTTGGAGGTACAACCCATGTTCCGATACTGAAGAACTGAAATATGTGGTCAGGGAAGGGACACTTCGTTCTCCTGTGGTTGCATTAGGAGTGATGACCTCTTTAAAGCCACCAGTTTTAAGGAAATTGTTCTTAAGAGTGTGTTTGGCCTCCTACTCTCCCTTCAGGCTCCCTAACTTCTCCTAGTCATCAGAAAGCATTTAGACCAAGAAAGAGGAAAAAAACTTCAGGAGACTTGAGAAAAGCTGCCTAGGAAAGTCCACTGCTGGTTTAGTTAAGCCAAGCCACAAAATCATCCACTTACCTGAAGACAGCACTCTCTTACTGCAGTACAGGCAAAACTATGGGACTTGCTGACAAGATGGGGTGAAGGACCTTACTGCCAGTTCTTGGATGTGCAGGAGCAATCAGGCTCTGAGTGCACTTGCTGGGAATAAGACAGGTATTTGGTGTATGTGGGAAAGATGCTTTCCTACACTTAAAACAAGTTCACTTCACAGATTGGCAGCGTGTTCTCACTGGATTTACAGTGAGTTTGCGATGTGAGTTTTATCACTGTAAGACTAGGCAGTTGCATGATAAAACTGGAAATGCTTATCAGTGAGACAATACTGTTGTTGCCATAACAAGCTGCAATACAGCAGGGCTGTTGCTAGGGTCTCCCTGTTTTCAAGGAACTCGCCCTGCCATGAGTTGCATAAATTCACTGGCTGCAGCTGATGAGATTCAGTGGTGACAGGGAATGTAAGCAGGGATGGATGCTGATGCATCCCACAACCAATGCACTATGATCCTTTCCACCGTTGCCTTTTCCTTGCACCCTGTGTGAATAGCTACATTGTTTTACCGATCTGAAATACGGGGCATGGGACCATGTACACAGCTGAGACAAGAAGGGAATTAGGTCAAAAACCCCATGAAACAGCGCCCAGAATATAAAACGAAACCGCACTGCAGTATGAGGCTCCTCCGTGGGTGCCGAGGTGATTGTGTGTGTTTCTCTACTGACATTAAAAATGGAGCAGAGCAGCACTAGTAAAGTCAGAAATTTCTAACTTCCTTACAGGGAAGCCACATCTGAGTCCCTGTACAAGGGCTAACTCGCTAGGCTGAAACTCTTCAAAAAAAACCAGTCTAAAGTTAGGTTTCCAACTCCATGTATAGTACCCGGAATTTTCCAAATGAATTGGGGAAAAAAAAAGCAATCAATGTATGTTAATCCTCTTAGTGTCTGAAGTTCAGAGTAGCCAAGGCATTCTTCCCTGTGAGAAACCCCTACTGAAACAACTTGTGTTTGAAATTCTTCCCTCTTCTTTTGTTCCTTTGATCCTCTACACCTTTCATCACAGGCAAGCTCCTTCTTATGCCTATGTTTCTTTGTGCTGCTTTCACCCCACCCCCTGCCCAGCTGATGGTAGGAGGAAAATATATCATAAACAGGATGAAGATTTCTAAACCACATGTGCTTTACTTCAGGAAACAGGCAAAACGGGAAAAGTTTTGATTTGCATATAGCAGTCACATATAGTCACATTCACAGCAGGATTGAAGTGAAATATTAATAATGGTGAGCACTTCAGTTCACTGACAGAGGAATGCATACCAGTTTGGTAGTCTTTGAGTTTCAGCACTAAGCAGATGCATTAGCTAGCTTCCTAGCTTCCATTTCATGCTTAGCCTTTTCTCTCATCTCTCTTTCTCTCTCAATGAGAAGTGCTTGTTCTTGCTCCCACTCCTTTAGCTTCTGCTCATGTTTTGCAATGTCTTCCACTTCACATGCTGGCAGCTTTTCCTTGACAAGTTGGGTGGTCAGGGTTAACAGGCTTTCAGATTCAACCTTGCCAAGTGAATGCAGCTGAGAGTACAGCTCCTGTCATAAAAAGGGATTTGGCGGGGAGTGAGAAGGAGAGAGCCAGTCAGTCACAAAATAATCAGCCACAAAATACTTCCCTGTAAGAACCAATACATCGCTGTTTGAATCTAACTATTAGCTGGGCTATACAGGCTAGGTAACTATTTTATCGCAGCAATATGTTTTGACTGTGGTAGCTGGTACCATTTCTTGAAATGCTTAACGGCTAGAATAATTTTTTTCAGCAATAGAACTAAACCAATGAAGTTTAATTTGCATTAACCACTGAAATTCTCGTTATTTTTCCAAGTTCAGTTATCTGGTATTAACAAAGATCAGCTGACCAGTCAATTACAATAAATATAATCTAAACACCTTGTTTTTGTGTCTCACCTTAAAAATCTGTTGAACAATTTGCTCCACACTGCATGCATTAGCATCCCTCTAAACAGATGCACATCACTTTAAATGCTCTCTTGCTAAGGGTATTCTAAGTAACTCCCATGATTTTTATTCCCAACAGTTACTGTGATCGGAAGCTTGACTATGCTTACACAGACTGTACAATAGCACTAAAGCAAGGGGTATTTTTTCAGGGATATTCTACGCTGAAACTAAGAGCAGAGCTTCAGTAAGAAACTGTGCAGTATTTCTTGAGCTTTACTTATCTAGATTTCATGCAGCATAAAAATGTTAATTCACTTAAGATGATGAATCATCCAGTGATACTATTTCTGGCTTTCTGGAATCCTTAGCCTGATGGCTCACTAACAATCTGATTAAAAATTGCGTTAAAAGTGCAGATACACAACCAAGGAGGAGTTTCCTGGGGGAGAAAGGAGACACGGTACTGGCAGATTCTTTACCCCTTGCTCACTCATCAGATAGCAACACATCTTCCTGATTGTTCTTTTAAATTAAACATTTTACTGAGCCTAGCACCTGCAGAAATGTTTAAGGTAAGTACATGTCCTAAAGAAAGATACATCCATGCTTCTTTTCTGGGCCCTTTGAATAAAGCCTATTGTTCTGCATTGCAGGATGATGGAAAGAAGATGTGGGGATCATTCACCTCCAAACAAAACGGCAATTCTGGGGCCATGCAGATATTTGGACTTCCAGTTATCACTGGAAGCTTATGCGCTGTGCTGCTGGCCCCCAGTGTTCCTCTTAACCCAGCCCACTCTGGCAATAATCTGCAAAGGCACTGCCCCTCAGCTCCTGTATTGAGGATCTGCCTTGTTCTTACACAGGAAACTATGATGTCCCCTCTGAGGCCTCTCCACTTCTCTCTGCAGGCTTTGTTGTGTTTTGCCCGACCCTTGAAGGTTTGAAGTGGACAGACAGCAGATTCAAGACTCTAAAATGCTAGGCACGCAGGTCTGAGGGGCTTGGGTATTTGGCTCTGTCTGTTATTTGATTTTATGATAAAGAATGAAAACAAAACCAATGGCTTTGAAGCTAATGGACTAAAACCAAACTCAGTAATATTTAGGTGTGTTCATCTCTATTTTGTTTGAGATGTCAGTAAGTATATGATGCATCAGTGAGAAACATGAAGAGATCATACAGCTTGGTTCTGGGACAGGAACCTGAGAACTATACTCATGTTTACAGATTAGATATTCAGTTTAAACATAACTGGTTTAGATCCTTAGACTCTCCCTACTAATCACTACCAAAGATGTGCTGAAAAGGGGGTTTATGCACTGAACCTAAGCAATATGAAATTGAACTAGAGAAAGGCAACAAACTGGAAACTAGCAGGACTTCTCTCCTAAGCCATTACTGGGAACACTGAACTCCTAGAATCTTCCCTGCTCTGCTGTGATACATTAGTGAAACTAATTTAGGAAAGCAGCAGCCTCTATGTCCCGCAGGTACCAAAAGCGCGCATTCTTAAGTGGCTAAATCATTGATTTTTATGAACAGTCTCCAGGGCTCTGCATGCAGACAGTTAGAGAAGGAGCATGGCTTTTAGAGAGGGTGTTCCCAGCATTTATGTGATGAAATGCTTGCCCACTGATCATTTGACACAGATGGAAGGAATTGCCTGAGGAACACTGTACTGAGTAGTAAGCCTCAGTGTACGGGATCTGAAAACAGGTAATTACAACACAAATGACAGTGTCAGACAGAGAGTCTAAATTACAGCTCTAAAGGCTTTATCTGGAAAGAGCCAAATGTCCTCAAGTCCTGTTTGTTTTAGTGGAAGTGAAGGACATGCTGCCTCTCACACATCGTATCTATTAGGCTGCCGTGGCTTTTTCAGGTACTTCCACAAATGGCTGTTCTGAAGGTTGGTATGAGACACGGAGTCCAAGTTGCGTATAAAAACCATGCAGAATAAGCTACAGTTCTAGACAGGAACTGTATGTCTGGAGCAAATCCACATGCTTTTCCTCGCATACCCAGGTGTATGACTTATGAAAGAGAACTGGGCAAGCAGGAGACAGAAGCAATTGGTTTTGAGCTCAAGGAGAAAGACTGGGACATGCTGGCTAATGCAGGGCTGGACAAAGTGCAACCAAAGTGTTTTCAGCAGCAAAAGTGCAAATCCTGTGTTGGAGTTCCATCACACGAGGGGCAGATGATCTGTGCTGGGACAGCAGCTGTGAATGCCAACATCACCAGATTGCTTCAGAGCTGCCACCTTCCCTCAGACTTGTAAGGATTTCTTGTGAACTTCTCTGCCCTGTGAACTACACCCATAAGTGGCCAGGGGTTCAACTAATGGATATGAGAGAAGAGTCTGAGAGCTCTTTCAGGCTTAGCCGAAATGGCATTCTGACTTGAAAGCTCCTTTTCTCATCCAGACAACCAGAAATTGTGGCTTATTTACATATAAATTGCTGTTGGATGTCTAGACTTCACATGAGGGCTTTGTCTTTCTTATATTCAGACTTTTCTGGTGAGAGCTTAGAGCTAAGCATTGGAAATGTAGATTGTTGGCTCAAAGTCAGGGCACTCACTGCCACACCAGGGAATGCCTGAACTGGGGTTTATGGAACTTGTGGAAAAGTTGAGGTGAGAAGAAAACTACCCTCTTGGCACTAGCCTGTCCCCAGTTTGACATTTAGGCCTTGTTTTGAGCACTCTGCATTATTTTCTTCAAGGCTAGACAATGGATAGACAATGAGAGACTCATAAAAATGTCTCGCTCCCTCCTTCAAAGGGCACTTGTGTTTACCTAATTCACTGTAATTCATCCAGGCATTAATTATCACATGCTGAGCACCCACCCAAACACTTTAATTAAAAAGTTCTAAGTGCCTACAAAGCAAGTTTAATATTTAAAGATTAGTGGCAAATAATTTATGTAAATAAAAATTAAAGAAAGGAAAAGTGTGTGTATGTGAGGTGAAACCATAGGATACTACTCTTAACTTTTGAAATCTCTTTAGAAGAACAACAATCCGCATCCAGAACAACTGTCCAAGGTCGTGACAGCAACAATGGAAACTGATGGGCTATGGGAAAAGTACTGCTCCTGGAACTATAAGTCTATAGTTTCAACCTGGGGTATTGATTTTTACCACAGCACAAATCAGAGGTGATAAAATAAAATGAGCTCGTTATATAGCTATGAGATGATCAAATAAAATGTACTCATTATATAGCTATGCCCTAATGAACAACTGTTTGTGTTTCATATTGTTATCATCAGCATGATGACCTAAAGATAAAAGGGAGGCCTTATATAATTATAGCCTTACTTAATTCCCCAGACTGAAAGTATAGGATGCAACATTCCTACTTAATCATAACATACACAAATGGACAATAAATTCACGATTGTCTCATGCCTATTACAATTTATTTTACTGAGCAAGAGCCCCCACAAGGTCAGATAATGGATCTCTAATGACATACCACTTTTGCGAACAGGATTGGATTTATCATTTTGATATATGAAAAGTGAAGAGAAAATCCCAGCAGACAGACAAAAGACAAGTGGCCTTGAGCATTTATGTCTTTGTAGGTTGCTGTTTCCTGTTTGAAGAAGTGAAAATGTAAGGTGACATCAGTTTCAAAAATGCCAGGTGGGACTCCTGATGCACTGAAGGAGTGTCAGTCTACTAGCCATAATAAGCCAGCATATATATTTTCTAGTATATGTTATGGAGATCTACTACAGCTTAGAATATTTAGATAAATGAAACTCTCTTACCTTGAATCGGCTGTAGTACTTGGGTGCTTTAGACTGCTCTGTTTCTTCTGATTCTGCACACTGTGACTTCTGCTCTAATTCCTTGACTTCTTCAGCCGATTCTGGACCAGGTTTTACTTCAAGAATAGACTGCAAAATGGTCTCCAGAGCATCAATCTGAACAATCACATTTATCATTGTTAGCATAAAAAGTTTGGAAATACAATCTGAGTAACACCGCTGTCACGTTTACAACCAACTTCATGAGTTACCATGTATTTTGAGATGACATTTGTGTACGATAAGAATAAAACCAAATTCTAAAAGGAAATGGGATTTATTCTTGGAAGAATTTTGTACTGTACTTGGGACCTTTGAGACTGGACATTAAATCCCTACAACAGAACAACTCCACCACCCCCTGTCAACAGTAAAACTCCCTGCGACTTAGATGCTGACTGGTATTTGCAGGTCTGTCAGACATTAGGCTAATGTCTCCTCTTGACATGATATCTGGCCATAAATATTAATGGTAAATGGTAGTCACAGTGATAACAGCACTAGCATGATACACAATCACAGATACATCTGAATAAGGTATTACTATGGAATGTATTGAACAATGTAATTGAACAATATAATATAATATAACTCCCCCCTAACAGATCATGTCAACACCTCTTCGGTGAAAAGAAGCAGGGAAATCACCTGTACACCAATAAGAACATTCATTCCTATCATTAGTTTGATAATTGAATAGGAAAAATGGAAATGTAGGCATATAATATATTGTTATAGGTATATTTTTAATTTGTGACACCTCTGTTCTCTTCATGCTTTTGTCTTTCAAGGTAGTAAGAGAACCACCCTCTCGTAATCTAATTGCAGTTGTATCAAAAGAATGCATTAGCTTCTTCACTAAAGGACTTGGTAAATTATTTTTGTATGTATTATTGATACAAAGACGGAACTGCTCTATGGATGATGATGCTGTTTTGGGAATAATATGATCTCCATAACTGGATGCAGGTTGCCTGCATTTTAAAGTTCAGCTTTTATAAATGCAAAGAGCTGTTATCCTTCCATGAATCCTAATTCTGAATGTTTATCAGTAGGATGAAATAACTCTATGTAACCTTTGAATCTGTGATGTTTTCTCCAAGCAAAAGGGATCTTGATGCTTACAGTTTCATTTTGCTAGCATAAGTATATAATGCTAAAGGAATAAAAATTAGGCTTATTTGAAATAACATTCTTGACATTGAAATGTAATCTTTAAACTAGCAGTACTGAAACAGGTTAAAATAAGCAATGAAATAATAACTATGTGCTTAGAAATACATACACTTATTTAGAGACTTTCTCAGACAATGAAAAAACCCAAAACTTGTCTTGCTTGTTCACAGTTAAACAATATAGCATAATACTAAAATAGCATTTCTATTATGCTGTTAAGATAGTAATAGCAGAGAGAAAAGAGACACCCTTCTAGTCAGAAATGAATGAAAGCTTAAAGCCTGAAAGAAAAATAAGTGACTGATAATGACTGGGCAAATCACTTGAAAATGTTTACACCAAAACTGCACAGTTAAAAAAGTTCATTTGAAAACTTCCTTTTAGATAATGAAATTTATTCAGTCAGAAAATAATACTACATTTTGGAAAAGAACCAAGTTTGCAAAACCAGGACCATGTCTTTCTCAAGTAATTCTGTGATTGTGCAGACATGCAAGGACAATGATTTATAACATGGCCCATACTTTTCAGTTCATATGGATTTATGAGAATTGCATAATGGTCAACCTAGTCCTGCCCAGGAAAGGTCCAGGATACTATAGAAAGAAAGGGTTTATGGCACTTGAGGTTGTTTCCATCACATCTACTGCTGAATCTGTGATGGACCAACATATTTTCCTTGTTTTTCTTTCTGCATTGGGGTCACAAAAATGCATTAGAGAAAAATTATTTTGATAATAACAAACCATCCATGCCTGCTCTTGGTCCTCAGCTTGGTGAAACTTTTGTGACTTGCACTATTGTTTATATACTGTTACCTAAAATCCAAATGAGGCCAAGTATCTCTTCAGAGAAGTTTCTGTGTGGCTCTCACGGTCATTGCTTTTTGGGCTCTACTACTGGATTTGTACAGAGAGACTTGCAGCATTAGTGAGTAATCAGTAATAACCTTATTTTATAAGTTCTTAGTTGTTCACTGAACAAAGTAAAAAGTGTCTCTGAGAAGAATGCATTGCTAGATATTACTAGTGTTTACTATTTGTACAGTATCAGTACACAGAAGGATGGGATCTTCTATGGACCTGTTGTACCACAGACAGATGCAGCCTTGTTTCAACACTAGGGTGTTCATCTACAATGCAGAGCAAGCTGAGGAGTTCCTTAATTTGTCTAGGGTTTGTAAGCAGAAAAAAATCACAAGCGTATTAGGCTGAGTTCTTCAGACTTGGAGTAAGGAAAAAATCTCCAAAACCACATACCCGAAGAGGTAACTCAAAGTGGTAGCAGTGGCAGATGTGACACTTCCTTCCTTGCACTGTCCAGTATTACACAGAGCTGCTTCTGAGCGTGGAGCAACAGACAGGAGAACCTGCTGAGCAGTGCCCTGGCCTTTGTTTGTCAAGGGAAATGCAGAAACTGCAACCCTAGTAGTGATGCTACCAAAAGAAAGACTCCCATCACCAGAGATACCTTTAGGAAAGAGTTCCAAGAAGAGGAGGTGAGACCTCAGTGCTGTTTCTACGCTCCAGCCCATGTGGTGGTGGTTTCCTAAGTTACTCCCCCTAAGCTGTCCAATTCCAGGATTAGCCCGATGCCCCATAGCACTCCTAAGCCCCAAGTCCCTTAGTCAGTGCTGACTTCATAAACGGACCGAATCTATCCACCCTCTCCAAATGAGGGCACTACAACCCTTCTAGAAATCACTCGGTACCATTTTTGGACCAGTATCACTGAGGACAGTATCATCTCAGAGGGCACAGAATACATGGATTTAGCCGGGAGAGGAACAAGATGTGATATTTCATCCTGACTGCTAAGAAGTATGTCACTGAGTGAGTTCAAAAGCTTGGGAAACAAAGGTGTCTTCCCATCCCCACAGACATGTGCTTCCTGTGACACAGACCCAGGTGTCTCTATAAGGAGGGGAAGGCTTAGGAAACACACTTAAATGATTTGTGGCATAACAGGCACTCACTCCCAAAGACATGCCAGTAGACACCATCACTGGCTCATCAACTGAAACAGTGGTTCTGTTCTAAACATTACTTCTTCGCCTGTCTTCCAAAGACTTCTGAAATATTGCTGGGTCTCTTCTCATTAGAAAGGCACAGAATTCACAGGTTTTACTGGAGTTTGGCTTGTGTGAAATTCCCTCTGTTCAGCGGGTTACAGCCTTCATACTTACAGCTTCTTTGCAGATTTTGCTGTCCCCTGACAATGAAGCCACGTTCTCCATCACTTGCAAGGCTCTATTCAAGTATCCAGGTGTCCACATTAGTGGCATTAGATTGTATACAGCTCTTAGCCCTTTATTCAACTCCACTTTCCCTGTGATAAAAAAATAACTTCAGCGTTAGTACTTCAACACCTGAGTCTTAATGGAATCCGTATGGTTTGGCTCTGTTTTTTAAAAGTGACAGGAGGTGTCTTGGCTTCTGTGGTAAAACCAATACACTCTTCTACAAAGCTGCTCTGACAGAACTGCTATTACCTTATTTTATTAAGGTGCCTTCTTTTTGCCCAACTTCAAGGCTATTACATATTTGGTTCTGGTTCCCCCCCCATTCCCCCTCCCCTCTCACCTATAAATTTTGTCCGGATGGAAAAGAGGAAAAGTGGTCAGATTTTCTGGTTGTCTGGCAGTTGTAACAGCAGCTCTGAGCAAGGATGTCTGAAGATCTCAAACAAATGTCTCCTTCACCTCCAGGGACTGACTGTGCAGCACGTGTGCACTAAATCTGAGGCTCTGGACTCACCTCTGTGGCTTTTAGGGTCTATTCACACATGTGTCATGGCCAGACTGTACGGTATTAACAGCACACGCTCTGGCTAACTATACAGCTTAGCACCCCTATTTCTGCTGGAGCTTCCTGAGAGGAAATATGGGAGACCTGCCAAAATGGAATTTTGGTTCTTGATTTAGGACATTCTGTGCAACAAGGTCTTCACTGACTTTAGCAGGACCTGTGATGCGCAGCACCACTGACAATGCGGCTTTTCTTCTGATGGTAATTACTAGAGAACATGAAACTCCTACATAACAGAGGAAATGTACATCATGCTGAAGTTGGTGAGTAGTAATTTACAATGATTGTCACGCTAAGGTTTTGATTTTGTCATTGTCACTGTAACAAATAATACCACTTCAGTGTAGCTTCACTGTAACAAATAACACCACTTCAGTGTAGCTTACGATCACAGAATCATAGAATCATAGAATCA